TCTCCGGGCCCTTCTGCCAGCCTCTCAGTGTGCTACAGTTGCCGCAGGCCCTGCTGATCAGCTGATTGGCAGGCAGCCCTGGGGCATCAAATAGTTGATCTGCAAGCACTCTGGGCTGGAAACCATTGTGCTAGGGGTTGCTCAGCACTTTTTCCTATGGGTGCTTGAGCCTAGACCACCCACAAAATTAGTGCCTATGTGCTAAAGTGCTAGTACCAGTATAATCAGTCCATGGGAGTGACTGCTCTGTTTGAATTTTTGCTGCCAAGCTCTCACAATGACCCATAGTCCATGCCCCCCCACCCAATTTAAAATCCCCAGGGTGTTTTGGCAATGTCTGTTTTCTTGCTAGCCCACCTTTGCGAGCTCATAGGCATAGCTCTGTGGAAAATTCCAGTTAACTCTTGTGCTGCTGCGTGGTGCAGAAAAGAAGTCTTGATTGCAGAAGTTGCGCATGGCAGGGATGATCTTCAATGGTGGGCAAAGAGGAATGGGCTGCATCAATCCTACCAAAAGTCAAAGGAAGGCATACAAAATGTGGTGCTCTCTCCTAGAGCTGCTGTTATTATGTAGTGCTCTATGCCATACTGAGAGGGGATCCCACCATCTACCCATCATGGGCCAGGGACACCTCGAGGCATCCAGAAGATGGCACCCTGGACCTGCACACAAATGAGAAATGGATGAAACAAGTAGTCCTGTTGCACCTTAGATACTAGCAAAAATATATATGTGGTGTCATAAGCTTTCGTGGGCAAAACCCACTTCCTCAGATGAGATGATCTCGAGTTTTCAAAAAAACAAAAAACAAAAAAAGGCAAGTGGCTTAAAGGGTTGTATTTTGGTGGGAGAAAAACATTTGGAAATTTGCCCCTAACATGCTACAGGGCTACTTGTTTTTTGTTGGTGGTGGTTTTTTAAAGTTACAGACTAACATGACTATTCCTCTGAGACTTGAGAAATGGATGAGGCAGGGATGTGTTGAAATAGTGTGTTATTTCAAAATCTGGCACTGTGTAGATGCACCAAATTTTGAAATCATTTATTTTTAAAGACGATCGAAATAAGATACACAAATTGCATAGCACAAATTGAGTATCTTATTTCGAGTTTAGGGTGCTGTTTAGACACACCCTTAGTGTTGTGAGAGCAAATTGTAATTGCTACGCTAAATGATGGGCCAATGTTTTTAAAAGTTAGGCATATAGTTTGTATCTGGTTTCCACCAAAATTGCATTAGTAGATTTCCATAATGCGTCATTTACATATATATTTATTCCATTTACACGCAGTTTTGTAAAAACTGTGTCTGTAGATTGCATATATATTTTGTAAGCCATTATGCAGTCTTCTTATTAATCAGGCACTGTGATTGATTTCTTGGTAAAAGAATAATAGACAATATAGAATTATCGCTACTTATAGATTGCAAGTGACTGTGAAACAGTTGGATATTTTTGCATATATACAAAGGTATATTATATTGCTTTGCATGGAGGAGTTCGTCAGAAACACTTTTGTTGCCAAGACTGAAGTACTTCTATTATTTAAACTTTTGCAGAGTAAAATCATAAGCAACCATTATTGACTCATAAATTAAATAGCAGACGATAGCATTATTTGTTCTTTTGCCAGTATAAACAGATTAGGGTCGTCATGCCTGCATACCAGATAAGTTTTTCTTTTACTTTTACAGTCCTTAGGCTGAACCACTTTACACTGTTTCCTGTGACATGGTTTTCTAGGTGCATAGGAAGCACCTGGTCAAAGAAAAACAGAAAACATTATTTGTGCATTACTAGAGAGTATCCTGGAGTGCTTCTAAAGAATTAAATATTGCAAAGGGAAATCAGAAATGCAGGAAATAAAACCTGACATTAGTATAGCCCACTGGTTACGGTCAGAGTGAAAGATTTACTGGAAGTTTTGGAGCTTGAGACTCCACCCTTAGCAAGTCCAGGAGCTTTGTTTAGAGACTCTGTTGAGTATCCAGAAATTCTGTTCTGTTACAAAGGTTTTCCAGTGGAAGCCATTCTTCAAGTGGAAACAGCTCCGCTCCCTCAAATGATGGAAAATGTAAGCAGAGCTCTGTAGAACATCCTTGTCAAATTAGTGATTTTTCTATTTCAATCTTTGTTGTGTGGCTTGGAAAATATCCTTCATAGTGGGATCAAACAAAAATATGCTTCAGCATTTAACCATCAGCTAACTTAAATGGTTTTACTATCAGACCATAAATTATCCTAAAACATACGGCAAAATAGCCATACTTACTTTATAAACTATTAGGCTAAGAATGATTACAAGTTATATTGTCTATATGTTACATAACAAAGATTAAACTTTGCAGGGAATGATAACAAAAAAACATTTAAAACAGTTAAAATGAGTTTTCTCAGAAGTTGCTAAATTTCCCTTCATCCCATTTTACATTCTGTACAGTCTATTTGAAGAGAAAGATGTCAATCCTCGATGGTGGGATCAATGTAGTTATTTTATTTTTATAGCTTGTCTTATTTTTTTAAAAAGTTCATGTGTTTCTCTCTGAAACTTTTAAATACAATGCTTTAAAAAATAGATAACCTGTTCAACAAATTGAACAGGAAATCTGCAGAAACATATCTCGTGCTCTTACATGATATGCATTCCATCTGGCAAATAACACTGCTTTGTTGTCTTTGAAAACAGGGAAAGACAGATATACACTTGATTAAATTAAATCAAATTTCAATTTATTGGCCTACAGAACTATTTCTAAAAGGTACCTTCAAGTAAATACTGTATTGCCTATAAACCACCTCCCCTGCACCTTGGTGGCACGTGTGGTGACGGGATGGTAGGCAGAGGTTAGATTAACAAGGGAGAGGTAAGAAATAG